CGACGAAGGAATGGCCGTTTATCACAGATGCTAGTGACGATCCACGCTCTGCCACATTGTTAAGAAGCTTGGCGTTAAAATGCGATTGTCGATCGTGCAATGATCATAAATTCGCGCCTATTGGTCGCACTGATCGACGTACCGAGACCGAATTCTGGAGCTCTTCCGAAATAGACGCGAGGAAACGATATAAAAACACCATTCTTCTCTCAAAGTAAAGAAATTTTTCGATTTATAAATTATGTTTCTAACAGTTATACATATGTACGCTGTAATTTATATGTAGGAATTCAATGAGACATCGTAAATTCGTCGATGCGAGTTCCGAAGAGTTGGACTCGTCGGATTACAACGCTATTAATCATAACAATGGCAAAACAAACGGAGTGAATAATGGATCGATTCTCGCGGATCATATTACGAATCAGTCTTCAATAGTTAATCACACAAGAAAGAAAATTTACCGAATAACTAATTTGTCGTTCTTCAATCTAATTTTCGACATTGTTTTCTGGCCTTTCGTTTTTCTTCGCGCAAAACAATGATATGTCACGATGTTACATATATATTATCCATACGCATCCATTATTGTGTGACTTGCCGATGTTTTAATTCACCGTACGCGATATTTTTTTCACGATATTGAACAAAAAACATTAACACAAAACATCTTTAAAATAATTTGTAAAAAGATGTACATGTGAATTTACTGTAAATTATTTATTAAATGACGCGTTATTATATTAATAATTTATTATTTGATGAAATTTATTATTAATTTCTTCTTTACTTGTTAATAAGATAAAATTCTTCAAAATGATATTGGGATTCCTTCTTGTCATAAACTCTTTATATAATTAATTCTATGAAAAAATTCTATTATTTATTTTCCATTATTTTACCCATTATTAATCAATCAATAGTTCTACTACTCTTGACAGAGCGCAGTGACCTCTTCTCGTATTTCTGCGATGTGCGCTATTTACACTTTTACGCAGATATACGGGACCTACATTTTAACGCCGGTTCTGAACGAATTTCAGAGTTATATTATTCTGGATAGATTTGAACCCGGATTTCTAGCTAAAGCTGCCGCGCTGCTCCTCGCGCCACGATCGCCATTATATTCATAAGTAAATGTTTACATATGTTTAAAAATAACTAGCTAAAGTTAACAGTAAACTTGTTTAAAATTAACTAATTTAAATTAAAAGTTATTTACTCCTTAATATTATTATTTAACTTTTAACTTTTTTACTATATTTTACAATCCAGTCCTGGTGTTTATACATATTTATACATGATTACATTGTGCATTTCGTTCCATTGATCAATAAAGCTCTCACTAATTCGATCACAGTAGCTGAGATCGATCTCGTACAGTTTAGGACATTTTATGAATAATTGGGAACATATGTCAGGTGTCATAAAATGTTGGCATTGCAAGTTTAAGATTTTTAAGTTTTTGCACGACGTTAGTGTTTCCAAAACACGATCGTTGAAAGGTTTAAAATAGCTAAGATCGATTTTTTCCAGGTATTGGCAGGAGGAAAACAATTTACTAAAGAGCTTCCTATTATCGTCATAATTGTTATAATTGTAATGCAGGATTGTGCAGCTGTAAACAAAAATCAATAACGGTTATTGCAATTGCATGCAAGAAAGATAAACATATAAACTTCAATGAAAAATAGAATACGATAATATTTATTTAAAAAAACACTAATATACGCATTACGTACCAAGAAAAATTAACTTCTTTTAGTTTCTTACAATCGGCAAGGGCATAAATGCTTTGCGATGTAAAAGAACATCTCTTTAAATTTAGCTTTTCCAAATTTGGACATGAATTCTTTAATTCCATTGCAACTTCATGTATCAACAGCCACGTACATGCTAAATTTAAGTCACGCATGTGTCGATTTCTTTTCAGTATTTCGCACAAAGTGGTAGCTTCTAACGATCTTATCCCTTCAAGATGTAAACATTCCAAACACTGTAGATTTTTGAGATATGAAATATCTTTCTTTGT